AAAAAAAAAAAAAAAAAAAAGCACAGGAACGAGGAGGCGAGACTTTCATTAATTATAAACAATTGAAGAGCTTTCAATAAAAATAAAAACTGTCCCCAGCCCCAGGAGACAGTTTTGGTGAGCTCTGCAGCAACCTCTGCTGAGTCAGCTGGCAGGAGAAAGCCACCCACCCACTCACTCCATGCAGCTGCATCCTGTGCCCATGGCACTGCCTGCTGCCCTGGTGCCCATAACCAGCACCTGACCTCCTGCCCAGGCTGCACGCCCAGACCTCCGGGCACACAGGCTCTCTTTTTGTGTGCGCAAGAGACGATGTGCAGGTTTCTTCACTTATTACTTTTGTTCAGTGCAGCCTTATTAAACACCTGCAGGCTTGGGCCTGGGGCATTTTACATTTCCTGCACAAAGCACATACTTCACATCACCAAAACCTTCCCTTTCAGCTTTGAAATGCTGATGGGGCTAACATACTGATCATTTGCCTGCCAGGTTATTTTCTTTCTTACCATATGCTGGCTGTGAAGTTTTTCCAGAAGGGTGTTGTCTGTGCCTTTGGGGAATCGACTCTCTTCATTCACCAAAGCCAGTAGACCCAGTTTCTACAGCCAAAGAAGAGACAGGCTTTTTTACAGTCAGCAAAAGCTCTAACTACACAGCAACAAGCCAAGAATTAGAAATTTGGACAACACATTGAGCAATAACTTGTTAGCTATACTCAGCAAAGTTCAAACTGAAAGCAGGATTCTGGCCAACCAGCACACTCATAAACACAACCAGAACATAAGCAGAGATTGTTTATTAAAAAATAATAATAAAACAACACGTTAAGGCATCATTCAAACCCTGCTCCTTATCTAAAACATTGGTAGCCTCCCTAAGCTTATCCCCAGCAATGAGCAGGGATCTGCTTTCTCAAGCAGGGAAGAGGGCTAGAATAGTTCTACTCTGGCCAGGTCAGGATGGGAAGAGAGTCCAGCAGGATACTACCTGTTCTTTTCACTAGGAAACCTAAGGAAAGTCGCCAACACTATCAGCAGACACTGCTGTGAATCCTGAAAATTGTCCCAGCTAACAACTCACCTTCTCAATGAGGTCCAGGCATTCTGCATTATCCATCCAGTCAATAGCTTCCCAGTTTATCCCCTCCCTGCCAGTGAAGAACAAATAGAACAAAGACATGAAAAGCAAGTTTCAGTCCTTGAAGCATAGGAGAAGAAAGGTAGCTAAGGGTGGCTTTCCCAGGACTAAAAAGGGATTTGTGGGAGTTAGGGTCTACCATGCCTGAGGAAAGGAAATAGGCCATGCAATACCCTGCTCAGACGACAATAGGAGACAGTCCTCTGTCTCAGTGATTTTGTCTGATGCTTATCTTGTGGTCATTGGGATAATTCCACACCAAGCACTAAGAAACTGTAGCTGCTCTCAGTTTTTGGTTCTTCTGCAATTCCAGTAACAGAAGGTTCTCCCTGTGTCTTACTCTTTCAGGAAAGATGGGCACGAGCTGAAGCACTGATGACAAGGGACAGTTTGCTATGTAGTCACAAGGGACAATCACTGAACTCCAAACTGGAAAGCAGGCCCAAAGCTCATCTGCCAGACTATACCACGATTCATATGTCCACCAGAAGAAGAGGAAAGAGCAGCTTTTCAGAGACATTTTCAAGAGAATAACAAAGATAAGCTTTGGACTGACATGTTGTCAAACTACAGGGTGGCTCTCCATGTTTCAGAACAGGAACTGACATAGGAAGAGCAGTGCTGTGAGAATTCTTTGCAAATTGCCCACGAAATTCTACAAATCTGTGCCAAGAGAGTTCCTGACGCCCCTTGCCACCTTCATACACTCCCATATAATAGGCTTTATATTCAGAGAAGGAAATCTTAAATGAGAATAATTGCTGCTGAAAATAACTATTGCTCAGAAATCCAAAGGAAGACTGCAGGCTATGTGTGAAGCTACTTACTGACACTGAGATACAAATCTTTGCCTTTCAGCTAAAGGCTAAGGTGAAACTCTTCCCTACAAGTCCTTCAGCCCAAGCATCGTATTTGCTGGTTCAAAGCATTCAGAAACCTGTGAGCAATTCACAGGTTGGGACCACTTCTGAAAAATGCAAAGACCCACACAGGGAACAGGCTATCTTACCAACTTAGTAACACAAAAATCAGTTTGTAGTGATTGAGATCCCTGAAACAATGGGGTACATATAGGGTACATATAAATAAATATATATATATATATATATTCCTCTCTTTTTAAAGAAAACATACCACAGAGACCTCAGGATTCCCTGCAAGAGCAAGAAATCCTTCCAGAATTGAAAGAAACAGTTTTCTGAAATCAATCAAGTCAAGTTGGCTCTTGATCCCACTGACAACAATCCCATAGACAACAATCCTCGTTATCTAATTGAATGAGGCGATACATAGGCACTACAAACTAAACCTGAGGAAGCAGAGCTGATGAAGCATGAGATTTAATTGCATCATCCTCAAAATAACTAGAAGCAGTCAGTAATAAAATTATCTTGTCCTTTCCAAAGTTTAGCCGTAGAATTTGAACTCCTCTCTAATTGCCAGGAATAAATCTTTTGTCACGATGGTACCATTCTTAACAAGAGCTTCCTGCAGTGGTGGAATTGGCCTGAGAAGCGGGTACATAAATAGCCTTGCAGTTTTGTAATCTTTAACATTTCATGAATTGCCTATTCAGCTGGCTCCTTTTACAAGGCCGCTCTCATTTGCCCTCACTAACCTTCTTCAATTGCCTCATTCACAAACATAAAGGCTTCTGTTTCAGAGGGAGAACTGAAGTATTTCTCTAGCAGCCTTCTCTAGAAACTGAAACACTCTAGAGCACCCCAGGTACTCTACAATATACAATCCAATACAAAGCCCACAGAAGACAAACAGCTGTGCAAAATGCCTCATGCTCTTTAAACTCAGAATAGGGCCTAATTTAATTCTGCTTGCTGAGAAAAAGAGAGGTCTTCACAATGTAAAAATTTCTAGGACAAAAAGTTGTCTGATATCTATCCATCCTACACTTTTAGGGGCTTTCCCTTTTCACACCATGAATCCATCTACTAACGATACACTGCATTAAGCAGATAACCACTGAAGTCAGTAATAAGGTAAGTGATTGTGTTTTCTATTGAGACAAAGCCCAGGATCCTATTCAGCCAAGAGAACAAAGAGAATCTAGAGTTTAAGGTTTTAGGGAACTTCCTTTTTTTTCTTTTTTTTTTTGTTTTTATTTTGCAAGGTACACTTTGTGTGTGTGTGGGGGGGTAAAGTATAACAGAGGTTGATAACATCAGCAGTGACATAAGGAGAATGATTGGAAATTAATGGCTCATTCTTTCAACACAAGAACTAGGAGTTCATGAAGCAGGAACACGAGTCCCATAGCCATGATGAGCACAAACAAAAGGAGACGGATCTTCACACAATATGTACATGAACATAGGACTCCTTGTGGATATTGAAAATTTACAAGAGTTTCCAGAGAGGCAAGGAAAGTCCATGGAAGAAGACACCATGTAAGGTTTTACTAAGCACATGAGCCCACAGCTAACTGAGGTACTTTGTAAGCTGGAAGTGGTATTAAATTGGGAGAACACTAGGAAGAAGTATCATACATGTTCATCTTGTTCTTATATTCCCTCTTAGACATCTGCTTTTGACTGATGCTGGAGAGAGGACAGTGCTTTAGTCTGACCAAATGCAGCTGTTCTCACACTCTTGTCTTTAGCGACTGACAGAAGAGGCTGGCCTGATTTTTTGTGTAATGCACTTGGTGAAAGGGGACAAAGTAGGAAGAAGATAAGGAGGGCATTATTTGCACAGCATAGCACATGAGGCTTTACAGATTTGAAATGTGAACCTAGCTTGTTAAGAGTCCCAACTTTTTAAGAAACACAAGCCATGCCTCAGCTTTGCCTTTTGGATGTTAGCGAAGGTTTCCTGCTCAGATTAGAAGTCAGACAAAATTTGCCATTTAAGTCAACTTCCTGTTGAGACTGGACTGAGATTATGCGTTGAAAACGTATGGCTGCAGAGGGTTAAAAAAGCTACAGAGAAGACAACTTTTGCTTGGAAACAAGTGACCTCAAATGGCAATACACATGATAAGGGTTTAAGAGAGTCAGGGTAGCAGCAAGGCCGAGTCGCCCTTCCAGCTGTAGCAGTTGGGACTGGACAGCACAATAGAAGAAGAGGAAGAAAGCCAGAGGGGCTCGTTCTGTCACCTGTTGTATTCCAGCTGCTCCAGGGAGAAGATGTGTTTGTTGAAATACTCCTGGAGCTTCTCATTTGCATAGTTAATGTTAAACTGCTCGAAACGATTCACCTGTCAGAAGAAACACAGATTATAAAACTTAACATTCTTGTCCCCAGTCTCCAAAAGAACCTCCTGACAGCAGCAAGGGGGAAAGTACAAGGCCTGTAACAAAGTCAGAGAGAAAGGGCAGCAAATGTTTATGAGAAGGACAATATGGGAAGACTGACCACGAGAACAGCTTTTGTAGTTCATGAAAGGTTAATGCAGTGGGCCTAATTGCTAGTGAAGGATGTTAAAGATAGTCATATATCTCTTCTTCTTAGGAAGAAAGCAACATCATTCCCTAAGTGTTAGTCACTGTTTTGTCTCTTCTTGTGAAATATCTGAGGAGTCATAAAAATAGCAGCTCGACATATGTCCCTCATCAGTTACCATCAGAAGCACTGCATGCAGGATTCTCAGCACAAAAAAGACTAAACAGATGCAGCCAAATAATTTGCATGTACAAGTCAGACATTTCATTTACACACAAGTCACAAATTCAGTATTACCTATCACAGCACATCTGCTTAAGGCTCATGTCAGAAAGTGGAACTTGAACATCAGTCTACATGAATGCAGGTACCAGAAATGGGCATTTGATGAATATATGCCACTACTCCTAAAGACCAGTAGCTATGCTCTCCCACATAGGATACAAACCTACCAAACTTCCTGTATCTAATGACCTCTCCAAATCCAACCCATCCTGAAAAAGACAAAATCCTGACCTGAAAGTTCTCGAAGCCAAAGATATCCAGGATGCCCACAGACTTAAAGTTTTCCTTGCCTTTGATCTTCGTATTAATCTTGCTAATGAGCCATGAGAAACATTGGGAATATAATGCCATAGAGAGGGAGTCTCTGGAGTCCGATGCCTGTAAATGTAGAAAAAAAGAGAAGGGAAAAAAAAAGGAGTTACAAGGAGAACAGGGGCAAAAGGAGCACCAGGAATATGTGACTTCAGGTCTTTCCATTCCTCCCTGAAGACTTCAGCCTCCTATATTGGCTATGCATTGCACAATATTTATGCACAGTCAACATTCAAACTTGCAAGTAGCCATGCACAGATGTACCAGGTCTGGCCTTTGGCAAGTTGAACTTGAGAGGCTGAATGAAGTAACAAAATCAGTGACATCTTTTACAGCAGGGGCTGGGGAGGGGAGGTGGCAAAATACCTCATCACTAATAGCCTATAGTAGTCACCTGAAAAAACACGGCAGTCACAGACAAGCTCAGTTTGTCAAAAACTAGCAGAGCAGGATCTAGGAGAGTCCTCCGTCACCAAGAGCTGGCCTTGAAAAAACCCTCTTCCAAACTTTTAAGCGAACAGGATCAGATTACAGCAAGCCAGGGGCTGACAGGCCATTTTGGAACTGATCCAACGTCCCACGTTGTGATCATACCCAGCATCACAGATTAAAAAAAAAAAAAAAAAATCTTAAATTGTGAACAGTAACAGGTAGCAGATAATTGGGGATGTGTTGGTATGGGAGGTGAATGTCCAACTTGATAACTGCAAGGAGCTGCACAGCATGAACCAACACAACTTCCTACCTGACCTTGCTGGACCAGCAGCAGCCTATCTGGTGGGAAAGGAAGTTGAGACCTAGTGAACGCAACACTACAGGAGCAGGGCGTGCGAGTGCATGTGTGAAATAATCAATAGGATAAAAGCTGCAATCTGATCATTTCTTAGATAAACCCACTATCTAGATCCACTGCGGGTTGATGTTTACTCTGTCAAAGTTTTGGCATCAAGGTAATTCCTTTTTAGGTCAGACCTGCAATGACAGAGATCTAAATGCATCTTTATCTTCTCTAGTTTTACAAGCCTGAATAATACTATTTCTCCTGTTCTGCTTTGCTAGGACACAGCCCAAATACCTCCAAAACCTCCCCCAGCTAGCTCATGAGGTGCCCAGCTTTCCAAGATCCTACTTTCTATCCAGTTTCTCCATTTCTCTCTTCATCTCCCAGGACTAGAGCTACCTCTATGCATATACTCTGTAGCCCAGGCCCAGCTGCATCTTAAAACTTTCAAATTGCTTTATCCCACATGAAAGGTTCACTAAAATCAGCCCCCTCTGACTTCTCTCCAGCAACTCAAGGCCTGGGGCAAATTTGCAAAGAGCAACCTCCCTTCTCTAGGGAAGAGAACATTTTAAAGCACAGGCATGCATGCTTTTTCTGGGCATTTCTTGTCTTCCTCAGATGGACTATTTTATTACTTTGGCATGAGGATGCCCCCCAGGCCACCCCTCTGGGAGTAGAAATGCTCTGCTAGCCAAGTCAGTGCGCTTACATAGTAGGATGGGCTCATTTTCCAGAACAGGACCTCCCCATCCAGCTGCAAGTGAACAAAGCTGCTTTCCCCACAATAGGGCTCAAAGGAGATTCTCAAAGGCTCCTTTCATCCTCGCAGCCCGCCTGCCTTCAGCCCAGTTCAGCCATTCAACGCACTGAAATGTCAAAGCTCCAGCGGCCAACGAGACAGTCACACAGTGAGAAATTCCTGGCAGCGCTTCCACTGCATTCCCACAGTGGCCAGCAGGAATAGGTGGATGCAGCACTCAAGGGCTTAGGCAGGAGCAGTCCTTAGGCAGGAGTAGTCTTTACAACCCCAATGTTCAATGTCATCAGTTTGGCCAGCGATGAAGGCTCATCCCACTTGCCTGAACAGCCTGCTTTGTAGCTCCCTAGGGCAGGACCTCAACAAGGTGCAAGTTAGACCTTAGTGCCAGTTAGACCCTAGTGCAAGGGTCTAACAAGTGGAAACAGTAGGAGCAGCTGTACCATGAAGGAAAGTTCTGTTCAGGAGACTCTTACGTGTCCTCCACCTGCATGCTGAGCTGCACGGCGCCTCTCCAGCACACGCTGTGACCATCCCCAGGCACTGCTACAGCATGGGATGTCTTGCCCAGGACAGACAGGCAGGGAGAAGAGGAACAATGGAAGTAGATTTGCGGGACACACAGCACAGACCATAGGCTGAGAAATAATTGCCACAACAGCAACATTGCAAGGAGAAGGTCAAGCAGTGACAGCAGATCACAGTCTATGACAAATCTAGACTACTTCTTAAAGGCAAAGCTTAGCTTGCAGTTTATTACCAGATACGTAATATCTTGCGTCCTCAGCAAGAAAAGAAGCTACTACTCTGCTGTAATGAGCACAGGTGAGGCTTCAGCTTGAATACTGTGTCCAATTTTGGGCACCCTACTTCATGAAAGATGTGGGAAAGCTGGAGAAAACAGCTGAAAAAGAAGAGGTTCAGAAAATTACTTATGAGGAAACTCTGAACGAACTGGATTGTTTAGTTTAGAGTACACCAAGTGGGCTACTGCGCATAAGCAGAAGCTTGTTCTAAGGTGGACAGCAGGGATGGCAAAAGAAATTTAAATACGAGGAAAATCTTTTCAGCTACAGCTATTGCCACTGGCATAGGACTGTAAAAAAGGCCATAAAACCCCTTCCACAGGAAATTTCAAGAAAGATTAGATAGATATCTGTCAGAAAGAGCCTCCAAACACTGATTTCTACAAGAAAGTAGGGGTTGGGTTGATAATCCTCTGTAGGCCATGCTAGCCCAAGTTTTCCCTTACAGATGTTTATTTTGCTATGGCACAATGCTTACTTCATCTAGTAATATTTTCCATTCTCTTCCCATGTCTTTCACTTCACTCATGACAGAAGATTTTCTACAGCATTATCTGTGCATGGACCTGAAACACCAAGAGTGTTCCCAAGTGATCAGCAACACCATAAACTTAAAGCTATGCTTCAAGCACATCATTTCAATGAACCACACAGTAATGTAATAGGTAACAAGGACTGGCTCAAGCAGTACAGACCTGCAGCATATCATTTTTGGGTCCTCTTCTGCTGTTGTACAGATACACCATCAAGCTGCTGTGGGGTAACAACCTACTCTCTGCTAGATGTTTTGTAGTAACTCTACGTAAGCTTTTATCTTCTAGTAAATCAAGCATAACTTGGGAGTTCTGCAGTTAAAAGCATGCACACATACAGCTACTACAAACGTTTGATAAGCTATCTGGTACACACACAAAAGTTATTGTGCATGATACGACCATGAACATTTCCTTGAGACTGAAGATGATTTGAAACCAGCATCACGCATTGCCCCTCTAAACTCCTTTTGCCCTGTAAAGGCTGAAAAGCAGAAGAGGCAACAGGGGGACCTGAACTACCAAAGGAGGGAAAAAATTTGAGGACACAGCCGAACAGCTAGGAGGTGTAATAGAAAATCCTAAACTTCAGTGGATGGTAGAAGACAGGAGACAAAGGGCCTAGGGATGCAGAGGAGGCAGAAGCAACACTGCCCAGTAGCAGACTGGAGGATAACAGAGAGCCAGATCAGATGACATTACCTAAGTGGTACCAGACTCTACTGTAAAGTAGTTCTTTCATGAAAACTGCACCTTAAGATGGATAGATAAGATTTAAGTCAAAAGTTAACATGATATATGCGTATCAAAACTGCACTGGCTTCAGGTCTTGTGCTGTGACATGAGGCAATGCCACTACCTGCATGGTTCAGATCCAACTCGTTGTAAGCGGATCACCAGAAGAACCCTGTACTAGCTGCCACTAGACCGTATCATTAGCCACATCCCAGGCAGATTGCTGCCATGACTGATTCAAAATAAATTATGTATTAAAAGCTATATCCAAGTATTGATTGTGTTATTTTACAGAAGTGTAAAATGCAGCTCTGAGCCAGAGATTGGTCAGGCGAAGATTGATGCAGAGCTTCCAGCAGGCTGTCCCGCTTGTTTTCATTGCGGGTCTTAAGTTTGCTCTGCCCAACAGAAGTCAGGCTGTCCGAGCAACACTGTTTCCACATGGCACCCAAGCTGAGTGCCATCCTTGCTATTTTCCAAGTTTGTGGTGATCTCTTTTGGAAGGATTGCCCCTAGTAGTCACAAGGCACACACAGACATCACATCTGCCCCATGCGGATGGAGAGAGGTAGCTGCACAGAAGCAGCCCAGGCACTTACCTGCTCCACAGTGAGAGGGGAGCTGATCTCTTCTCCACGCAGAATCATGGACCTCTGAGTCAGTACTTCGGAGAGCTGGAAGGCATCTAAGCCCAGGAGATCACTGGCAATGTTCAACACTAGGAGAGAAGGACAGACGTTTTCTCCCAAATAGACTCTCATCACTCACAAGGAATCAATGCACTGCCAGCATGAAAATCCCAGGGACTCAGCTCTAAGATGAGTATCAAAGCCCCAGCAAAAACAGCACTGCCCTTTAATTCTCTTTAGTATGCCCAGACCTGCAAGCAAACACATCCAATCCTAGGTAGGGTCAACTCTCATTACGTGCTGCAGCTTAAGCCAACCTTTCTGCTCACAACAGGAAGAGCAAAACACTGTCCAAAGCTTAACACCATCAAAATATTTATTGAAAGATGTATGTTTTGTTGAAGGCACAGCAGTGCAGTCTGTGCATGGGATTGCCAAGCTTGGATGGATCCAAGCGATCCTGCAGGAGTACTTGTGTGTATCTGAAAACATTCATCCACAATTTCTCACACTTCAACAGTATTTGTACTGATGGTCAGCATAACATAACAGTCAAGGTGCAATCTGTGGCTTAAGAAATCTCTAAACCACTGATTGCTTGCAGCTAGCAAGACATATTCAATCAATTCATATGAACTCCATTTCCCCCACACTGGCAGAAGCATGCTGAGCTAGCAGCTACCTAGGCTAGATGAGCTTTTTGTGAAAGACAAGAGATACAAAACGAACACAGGTAAAGAAGTGTAAGAAAACAGCAAGACAACAGCAAGATAATAGTAATCTCTTATCTTTATCAGATTCTTCTTTAAATAAACCCAACAGAGGGTTTAAACACAAAGACAAGGTGCGGATTTTGCAAACACTTTCAGGAAAGTCTTCCCAAAACAAAAGGTAACTTCTGTCAAAAGAGATATCACACTTATCTGGCATTACCCAGAACCACACTCAAGAGCACTAGCTATATACATTCATGAGATGAACCGCTGTGTTGTATTCTTATTATTTATATTCCAGCAATGTATACAAGACCCCAAGTAGGACAGAGTTATGCCTCACACACACAGGACCTCTTCTTCAAGTAACTTCCAGTTTAGTTTAAAATTGGAAAATCATGATCGGAAAATACATGATTGCATACAAGCATATTACAAAAAGAAAAAGGGAGAAAGTTGGAGAGGATGAGTACTAACAAGGACAGAGGCTCCTAGTCAGAGGTAAGCAAAGCACATGGCTCAAGTGCTCCAGAGCTCCTTTAATATATTGTTAATAATTGCATGTACAAAAATCTATCTTCCTGATCTTATGTTTTATTTTAATATCACTATATTTATAAAGTCAAACTGTACAACATGCAAAATACATAGTAATTGATACATAACAAAAAATACAGTGTGCAGAGCCTATCTTTGAGGTACTTTGCACCCACAGAAGGACGAGGACTATTACTAGACACTTAGGCAGGTAAATTAACTGTTTGTCATTTCTACTGTGTTTTCTCACATAGACTGTTGTTTTAAATAAAAGTATCTGGCTGTGAGAGAGCTGGCAGACCACTGGCTAATCCTGCCACTGAAAGATTTCAGTTGGGCTGAATGACTACACTTAACCAGAGTCATCAGGAGACCTGGTGCAATGAGGTGATAAGAGGGATGCAAAAGGGGGTAGTCAATAAGAGATGCAGTTAACGAGTCATTTCTAATAAATATTTATTGCTTCTGTCTATTTAGAGATTCACTTCAAGAGACCAACTCAAACTGGATATCTGTAGCAGAGTGCGTGCTATCAGATGAAACTCCTGTGTGTCCTATTTCTTCCTGCTCTTTCAATGCAAATCACGAATTGTGAAACTGTGGACTTAGTATCCTGGAGAACAAGGCAAGCATGGGGCAAGCACAGCCCAGCTAACCCATGCTGGTGCTCAGCAGCCACACATCCAGCAGCAATGCTTTTGCAGACTTAAACTTTTAGGAATCTTCTGGCAAAGGCACTAAAGGGGTTGGGGTATGCAGGGGAAACAGGATGATGGAGCTTTGCTAGGGGCTTTATGGAATTGTGCATGGTCTACCAAGTTGCTAAGGTCTCATTTACCTGCTTTCGTTGTAATCTGGGCCCCTCCAGCTGTCATAAATTCAACGTTTCCCAGATGAAGTGTGCCAGAAAGAAGTTTGAAGATGTCTCGTATCTCCTCAGAGCTGAAGTCCATCACCTTCATGGCAGTCTAAGCAAAATCATATGGCAAGCATTGGCTATACATACAGACACAGTACAACGCAACTACAACACTCATGCCCAGCCTACAGAAAGTGGGGGAAGGTGCAGCCCTTTTCAGCTATGTATTTATCAATGCTCTCTATTGTTTCCCGTTATGTCCTTTCATTTGCAATATGCCCAACTAGGACAGGTGGGTATTTACCCTGTTCTTAGACTGGACTTTGCTGCTGCCTGTCCTTTGCAGGAGGAATATGCCCATGCTTCTAGGGATCTAGGGAGCAATCATCCCTGACAGCTGGCAATACAGGTTACAGATGTCACTGAACTGCTTCCACCTTCTGCCTTATTGTCTCTCCTGAAGGACAGGTCTATATTTTCCTTAGTTTATTTTAGCTTAGAACAGTAAAGATGTATGCAGCATCACTTAAAGTCAGGTTTTCAGTTTTAGCTTCTGAAGAGATAGAAACAGAAGGTGAAACACAAGTGTGGCACAAACCTGCCTGAGCATCACATATCCTCTGCTTTAGTGCATCTTACCTAGTTTGGGGGGATATAAATCAACTTTGCAAGCTAGAACATAATTTTCATATATTTGTCATATCAATAGGGCAATCTGGGGTTCTTGTTCCCCTCCTTTGCACAAGTTTCTTTTCAGTTGGGATACAAATGCCATGTCGCATTGAAAACTGCTATTCAGGAGACCCTTCCTTCCTTTAATTCACGTTTTATAAGTAGGAGCTATTGATATCTTGTTAAATGCTCTCAACTTATCAACCTCATTTTACCTACATTATTAAAACCCTCAGTACATTGTAGTATACCACTTACCAAACAACATGGATTGTATATTCATCCTATTAAATCCATAACCTCCAGTAAAGTGCCACATGTCTATAGAACCCTATGCAGTATATATGGCATTTGTACCGCTGTACCAGAACATTTCTGTACACTACCTAGAACACTACCTTTAAGCCAGACTGCTCCCTTCTAAGGATCAATATGAGGTTTATGGATGGCTCCCCCTCACAGAAATTACCATATCTCCCCGTATCTTCATCATTCTCAACTGTTATTAATCCTTGACCACTTCCCAAATTCTTCTATTTCTGCATGCTAAAAACCACTTTCCAAGCCTTGCTTATATTTCAAGCCCATGATTTGACTCACTGCACAGCCAGCATTCAGCTTAGAGCAATTAGAGTCCACCTGTGGAATTTAGGTTCTGTAATATGTTTAGCCCATGGTAATGTGTCAAAGAAGGCCAGAAGGAGCTAGGGCAGGACTCACCATAACTTTACTGAACATCTCTACATCGTTCAGATTCTCATCATTCACACAGCCAGACTGGTTCAGGTAGTGATAGCTCCCCGGCTCAGAGAGGGAGAGGCTCTCTGCAACACAGGATGAGGAGGTCAGGTGAGAGAAAGACAGCAATTTATTTAGCAGTCAATCTTTTCCTTCTATGAACTTGGTTCTCCCAAACAGTGGGAACCTTCACTCTAGAGGGAGTTCACCTGAACAGATTCCATGACCCACAGCAGCCAGACCTGGATAGTCAAATGCCCTGGGGAAGGAGAAGCTGGCTGGTGACAAAGACCGTGGATGGTTCAGCAAGTGATTCAGAAGAATTCAATTCTAAGGTGACTGCAAAGTCACAGAAGCATTTTTTCAATACTGACTTGACTCACAAAAAAAAGATAAAATTCAGTCTTGTGAAGTGCACAAAAAAGTAGTCTTAACTGTATACACACAGTAACAGGCTCTAAATTAGATATTGCCACTTGAGAGGGAAAGAGTTCAAAGAGTCAAAATACAGAAGTTTCTGAAAAAAATAATCATTTCAGTGCTCAGCAGGCAAAAGGAAAAAAGGAAAGAAAAAAACAAAACCCTTCTATGAGAAAGCTCTTCAAGGAAAAACTCTATATCAAGTATCGGGAAATATCCATGGCCTAGCTGATAACCTGCCACAGCTTCATTTGCTGTTCTGAAAAGAGAACTGAGAAAACAATATTCCAGGAAAAGCTGTTACCTTTCTGTTCCCCACTCACACCAGCTAGCAGAGCGTAAAAGATGTGGTAATTCCTCTCTCCAGGGTTCTGGTGTACCACCCTGTTCTGAAACAAAGAATGCAGAAGCAGCCAGTAGAAAGGGAAAGGCAATTTCCAATTACAAATCTAAAGAGAGGACTAGGCTACAAGTAAATGACTAGGGCCAATGAACAAAGGTGCTTCTTCCAGCTTAGTAATGTTGTTGCTCTCTCTGCCTCCTTCCTTGGGACAGTTGCAGTATCGACATGCAAAAACCTCATGCAGCTCCCTGTGATGGAGACACCATCATCCAGTAGAGGTGACTGGGCACTGGTCCCCCCCATAGCTATGGGGAGAGGGCTCACCCAGCAGGCAGTGGAGATGATACCTACCTTTTCCAGCAAATCTGAACAACAAGTTAAGGAGAAAACATTCAAGTGATGCCCAGAGAGACTATGTGAGAACTGGCAAAGAATCTTCTATGTACATTGGAATGAATCCCAAAACAAGCCACAAATCACTAAATAAGTCACACTTTCAAAAGAGGACAAAGAATAGTCCCAAATATCCTCCTAAGTTCTCCTTTCTCCTCCTGTCTAGCTTACTCTGTCTAGGGAGCTATTATACACTAAAGAGATATTTCAAAGGGGAGGGTCAGATCCATCAGAAATCTATGCAATAGTGGGGTAATGTAACGAAGGATGAGCCACATCAGGATTATCTAAAGACATCAGAGAAGCTGCTCTAGTCTGAAAGTCTTTATTTCACAAAGCAAGTCTCGCATCGGTTCTCATCGATTCGGCAGGAGACATCTATCTTTAATCTGCTGACAGCACCAAGAGCAGAGACTAAACAATCAAAGCCTGTTATTTACAACAGTAGTAAATTCATCTGCCTGCTGCTCCACTGGAACTTCATGTGGTTTCAGTGATCAGCAGGTTTGAACAACAGCATCAAGCAGTGGAGACAGGGCAGCTTTAGCTGCCTCATGTAGACAGAGGAGATGTCAGAGCTTCTGGGACAGGGGCACGTGGGGATGACGAAGTCTGCGGCACAATAAGTTTGACTTTAACCAGGCTTCCCTAGTTTGTATTTAAAAGCCTACTTGGAATGGGGCAGCCCAAAAGATGGAGTTGTAACTGTCCCTTATCGTCCAAATACTGTGCAGGGTATGTTGACCCTTAATGTGGTCTCACTTTTCTAAATCATGAATTCACTGATAGCAATAACATAATAGTATGATCCATTTGGAAAGAAAAAAAAAGAACAGAGTGCAAGAAAATTAATGAGGGAATCTGTCTGTGTAGCAGATTCTAGGGATTTATGTATTAAGTGCTGTGATTGCTGATTTTAGAAGTCAAACTATGTCCCTACCAAATATGTTGTCATGAGTTTCCCAGAGATGCAGAGGGTAAGCACTGTATATACACAAAACAAAAACTTCTTCCCCCTTTAAGATACAGATTTGCATTTATAAACTGGCTTTGAGGAGACTGCGATGGGGGATTTCTCGACCCACTTTGAGCTCCTCCTCATCTTCAATCACTTCATCCATTTTTGGTCCACTGGAGCAAAGGATACAGTCAGTGACTCGCCCTCCCTGGATGTGTCCATGCTGAGAGAAATGCAGCTGGATGAACTTGCCAAAGCGGCTGGAGTTGTTGTTATAAACGGTCTTGGCATTCCCAAAGGCCTCCAGAATAGGGCTGCAGAAACAGGCAATCACAGTGTGACCGACGATGTGACACCGCTGCAACAGGACCAGGTCCTAGCCTGTTGCCATTTGCACAGCCCGCGCTGCCCCACAAGATTAATTTGTCACAGGTCAGACAAGCAGGAAGAGCTCAAAGGCAAGGAAGGATGGCCAGAACAATTTAACGCACTTAGTCAAATTTTAAACCTTTGGGATTGGAGTTAATTAAATCAGTCCCTCATCAGTACAGGCAGCTGGTGTTCACGCTGTCCAGGGCATTCCCCACCAAGGTGGCTTCAGGGAAATAAAGGCAGCGAGACCCATCCAGGCTGTGCACTTAATAAAGCTGCATCCAATGAATTGTGCTCTTCGGTTTTCATGGATAAACATCCCAGGCATTTGGGACAAACATTTTTGACCACATAGGTCCTCATTCCTGCTTCAACGTTTGAAAGTATATAAGGCATCTCCTAAAACTGCAAGTAAACATTTCCACGTTAAGAGACAAATATAGTACTACACTAATTTGTTTGGTTCACGCAAGCCTTTGTTGCTACTTAAATTTTGCTTACACTGATACAAGCTAGATAGTTTCCAAGTTGAATGCACACACATTATATATTTGAAAAATCTTTCAAAGAGAGCCACATCTTTCTGACTCAAAAATAAAATATTCAAAAAAATATATCATTTACTTCAGACTGGTAATGAGTTAAAGAATTCACACATTTCATTTTTAAGTAACTTTCCTGGCCAACCTCCTGCCATCATCATGTTCATACAACACGGAAAATTGAAAGTTAAAATGCAGTTTGATTCTAGTTCTACAATATAATACCAATGAAAAATCCATACCATTCAAATTGACACCCAGAACCTAGGATTAAAATATGCATTTTTGTATTTTAACCAATTCTAGCCTAATCTGAAAGCTTGACAAGCAAGGATTCACAGTCATCCTACAAGAGTGGCCTATGTGTGGTTAATTTTCATTCTATAACTATATAGTGGTTTCTAACAAAAAGGTTTGAAGGTTGCAGGCATCAAAAACAGCACTTTCAATGCACTAATGGATGTTGGCTTTCCTTCCTTCCAAGAAGGAAAGCAGACCACATCCACAGTGTAAAGGGAGTTCACAGGGCCTGCTTTCTGAAAATATACCAAGCATGACCAACACAACACACAAGGAAACAGATCAAAAGTGACAGAACTTTTGTTTTATCATTCTGTCTTAAAAAAGACAGAACGCTCTCAGACACATGCTGGATTGCAAGGATGAAAAACAGCCATGGATTAACCCAATGATGGCCACCTGCAGAGCAAGCAAAGCTGAAGAGGAATCATATCAGGTAGACTCATTAGGAGTGACAGCTTCTGGTTCCAGACCTTCAGCTTCCCTCTTTTCCCAAAGGTGACATACTGTTTTCTGCATGTGCACTGGGATTGCTCACACAGCACTAGAGATGTTTTTGAAACAGGTTGTGCACTGTTACTCTAATTTGCCTCCCAGCTGTGGGATTTTGAAAGATAAGAAATCATGTGTCATTGTAAGCTTTCTGGATCACAGTCAGGGTATCACTTAACCACTAAGCAAGCTTGAGCTTCTTAAGCCACTTGCCTAAAGGTGGATTTTGCAGATCCTGAGTTTGACCGTATTGCTTTAAGAGCTTTTTCCAATCTGCTAACATGCCTTGTAAAACCTGCACACCTACAAGGGATGAAGCAACCCACAACAGTCTCTCAAGCATCAGGTAACTTGGTAGCCTTCTGCTTAAGGTTGTTGTGCTTGTCAGGGCCCTAAGAAGTGCACAGCTCTCACAGCTGCAGCGTTACACACACTCTGTAACACCCTGCAGAACCACTGGGGAAAAGACATGATGCTGACGGGGCCACTGGAGGTTGGTAGAGAGCAGAGCTCAAGATGGGGACACCAAAACCCAAAGTGTGGCAGAGACTCCCTGTGAGCATAGCTAAAACCAAGGGAGCTCCAGGAGACTGGGCCAAGTATGAATTAGGTCAACTACCCCTGCAGCAGACAGCGATGTTATATATGTCCCCACTGCCCTTCACCAAAAGTCAATGTACCATGGGACCCACAAGAGACATGGGTCTGAGGATTTGAAGGCAGACAGCACAGCGATCAATGAGCTCGTTCAAGGGTAGTACTTCACACAGCAGGGCAGGCAGGGAAAAATGATGAGTTATTGCAGGGAAGACAAATCCAAATTTTGGTTTAGAGCATTAACCCTCCTATTGCCATGCACAACCCATGCTGCTGCTGGAAGGAAGCAGAAGTCAAGTGCAGCTGAAAGAGCAGCTAGCCTAAAGCATCTCTGTGGGACCACAGCTTCCAGAGCACATTTTTGTGGCATGCACCGTTTATCTCCACAAGCATCACTTCTCAGGTCCTGCTCAATCTATACTCAGGCTCAAGCAAACCCAGGTGTAAGCACTTTCTCTGAAGTATGATGGCTGTACAAGGCAGATACTGCAGGCACAGGCTGAGCAGGCTGCCCAGGAGAGGACCTTGTGGCACGTGCAGAAGTGAACCCTACCTGCTCTCCAGGATGGCTTCCTCCACGTGAGTGCTCTTCTCGGAGGCAGGGGCACCCACAGAGGTCTGGCTCATGGCTGACAGAAACTTCAACAGCAGCTTGGTGCTCTCCGTCTTTCCAGCTCCACTTTCTCCACTGTCAAGAAAAAGAGGGGCTCCATTCACCGCCCCAGAACGGAGCACTAAGGACCACCCCACCTTCTTGGAGAAGTGACCTCCAGGCATAAACACAACGTGGCATCTCCGCTGCCACAGGCAGGGCGAAGGGGCGGGCAGGAAGATGGGGACATTTGGGCAGGTGTCACTGCAACCCAAGCAGCGGATGTGAGTCAAGGGACACGGTCCAGGCACAGCGGGATCCCGTCTCTGACCTGATGAGAATGCACTGGCTGTCGTGGCGCTTCCACAGGCAGCAGTAGCACTCGCTGGCCGTGGCGAAGATGTGGGGCGGCAGCTCGCCCAGGCGGTGCTGCCTGTACCGGGCTATGGCGTCCTCGCTGTACAGGCCGGGGATGAGCTTGTAGGGATTCACCGAGGCCAGGATAGAGCCGATGTTTGTCTGAGGGGAGACAGCAAAACACAGCAAGGAAATAAGGCCCCAGGAAAAATAACTGCAACAAATTCAGACTCTGAAACAGCTGATGGGGAAGGCAAAAAGGCTGGGAAGGAAAAGGAGGAAAGCTTTGGTAGGGAGCTCCCAACTGGGCAAGAAGTGTCAAGCCCCAGGGCGGGGGCTGCATGGCCAGGTATGGATGGGCCAGGGTGACTTTCACTGCTTCGTAATATTCCCAACTTATTATCTTTGACAGAATTGTGCTTAAGCAACTTTAAAAAGTTCCTACCCAGCTGCCTTGTACAGTGCTTGAAGCTGAAAAGCAGAGCTAGGAGCATCTGAGGCCAGGAGACACTTCTCATACACCCTGTGCTCCTAAGGGTTTAGCAGGGTTCGAGCAGCTCCCAAAGGAAGGCGGCACACACTTGGGGACACACACTTTCTCTGTGCTGAAAAACGCTGTTTGGAGCAGCTCACGTCACTTGGAAAGCCAAATTAAACCTGACAGCTGAAGCTGAAACTCAAGATTTCAAGCCACACTAGTTTTACGTTTTCTAAACATTTTCTTTTGAAAATGCTTCTTTTGAAAATTTCCCAATTTACAAAAAGAGGTAGTAAGGTTTAAAGTAAAATATCCAAAGTCTAATATCTAATTTCCATACTTTGCTTTTATGAATAAGTCGGATGGAAAGTCATTCCGTTTTTTAGGGCACGACTTTTTCGGTTCAGCCAACCAGCTCAAATTCAGTTACTCTCGGAGCTGTAGTTCAGAGCAATGGTGCCACCTCACTCCTAACAACAATCCTGTACATAAGGGTTTAAATAGGCCTGTAAAAATCCAACTTTAACTCTACCACTGATGCTGCAGCCTCCTCTGCAGGGCTTCTGCATCACGGGCTGTGCTGCTCCAGGCACACCCGTGCTCAGCAGGAGCATTAGAGCAAACTCTTACAGCGCTGCAATAGGTGCCAAGCCTTCTGGCCAGGGACAACACCTAGAATTACTTCCAAACCATGAATTATTAATTATCACATGCAGATACAAGGATTCACATGAACTCGTCAGGGAGATTGCAAATAAAGTACCTGGTAGCCAGAGAAAGGGGTTTTCTCTCTGCTGAGTGAAAACAGAGGCCATGTTTTGGCCTCTGGACATGCAATGGACATGCAATTGGACATGCAATGTCCAGTTCTCAAGCTGGAAGCCAAACTGATAAGATGTTGTAGCCCCCAAAGCATTTCAGACAGCAAGAGCCACACATCATCATGAAAGAAACATCACCTAGGCCTAACTGCCTTATCAAGAATATCCGTGTGAACAGGCTACCAGGGAGCAAGCCCTAGGGAACCTCAGACATGAAGTTTTGTAGGCAGAAATTACTCGTCAGTGAGGAAAGCCATAAGGAAGAAAATGATCTGCAGCAACAGCCAAGTGGGAGGAAATGAAAAAGAAATACAGAAAGAGGATGGATCAGGAAAGAGCAGTGTGCAGCCTGCTGAGCAACACACATCATCTTGAGACTGCAAGATAAAGATGACCTCAAGCTCATCCAAGCCCTTTTCCCAGAATTTGGAGGATTCTTTTTCTCTCAGACATTTTATTTTGCATGCCTGCTCTAGTTTTTGTTGTCTCCTGCATCAGTGTTCCTGTCACAACCCTTTCCAATAGTTCTTCCACTGCAACCATCCACTTCAGAGGTGTTTTGAGGAAACTTTTCCCTCTCCCAACTGCAGTCTCCATCACCTGCAATCCCTAATAGACAACTTCTATTCCCAGTTTATAACAGCACTAGCATTTGTGCAGCAGACATGCACATACCAGCCCTTCTGTTAGCACTCTTCCCCCAGAAAAACCCAGCAAGACAACCCAGGTTGCAAACCAGGATGGGCTCTACCTTGTCTACGTCTCAGACCAGCAGCTCCCACCTGGGCAGACAGGCAGGGCACAGCTCAGAAACACAAAATGTAGCCATATATCCCCAGGCTATTTATATCTCATTCATGTTATGGCAGTTTTATGAACTTTTTTTCCAGTTCTAAGACATGGAATGGTTTTATGAAGCAATGTAGGAATGGTAGGGAGGAAAGAGGAGGATACACTCCTAAACGCTGCAAGCTGTTGCCACATCCACATTAGTTCCTGAAGGAGCTCGGTAGAACTGAATAGCATCACTTGAGGAAAAGAGATGGTATCGTTCAGATGGCCAACGTTCTTGTAATGCATTAGTTATGGGCATCCCACCAGTCTGAGTACGCTTCTCCCTGCACTCATTGACCTAGCTGCTCGTGGTGGGATGCACCCAAGCACACAGCTCTGAACTGCCCTTCTTCACAGTAGTGAATCTCCAAATTCTCAGTGGCAACTCTTTATCATAAAAAAAGAACTGATAATAAGCCCTGTTAATACTCATGCTTCCCCGCTTATCCATCCCTTCTGCTTCCCAGGTTAGCCATTTCTGGAGAATTCATTCTCCAGAAACTGGTGTTATTTCTTGCCCCTTGTTTGCAATGTGATTTTCTTCCAGATGTTTTTGATTCAAACTGACAGCTATAACCGTGCTCAGTTCACCTTCCTTTAGCCTACAGTGCTCTTTTCCAGCCCATTTAGGAATAAATAAGCTGAACCCCTGTAATGTTCGTTTGTGGTATTCACGTTCAATATTATGAGGCATTAGGTGGCACTACAGCTGACATGCTCAGCCTCTGCTTAACTGACAGCCACGTGCAGCTGGGATAAGGCAAAAACTAGTATTTAGTGAGGAAGCCCATACGTTATTAGTGTCGGCACTGCAGAATTGCAAAACAGCACGTGTAAGGACTAAGGGTCTCCAGGGCAGACGCTGCACAAGCATAGACCGGGATATGAACCCCAAGAGAGGGGCTGCAGCCCTGCCCAGGGCTTCCTCCCAGCGCTGCGCATGCCGGGTACTGGGCTCAGCTCCCTGCATAAATTGTCAAAAAAATTCAGATCCGAGGCATACAGCAGAGATGCATGCAACATGCACAGCCAAAATATGTCACTGCATGTAAACATTAACACCTTTACATGCCAAGGGAGAAGGCACAGTGAAGAACTAGCGCTAAAGGAGAGCAGTGACAGGCTGGAGCAAGAGGAAAGGTCTGGGGAGCTGAGGCTGCTGCGACACTGTCACCACGCTGATGCGCTGCCACTTCTGCTGCAAGGCACCGACTGCAAAGGGACAAAATCCTGTCTCAGGTACCAAGGCATGAGGAAGAGGAGGCGTATACCCAAACAGTGAAGGCGTCACAGGCAGAGAGCTGACAAATGCAGGGCACGAAGGGCAGCGGGGACACGGGCCACCAAGGCAGGGTGTGCACACAGGCAGGCGCTGCCTCGCAGGGCAGATCTGGAAGGCTGCACGGATAGAGAGCAGGCAACCAGGACCCGCAGCAACCAAAAAAAGAATTCAGTCCCCTATGTTTCAGAAACCGGGTCACTAAATTGATCATTTCCTGCAATACAGGTGTTGCCCTGGTAACAGTTGCTATGCAACACAGCCGGAGATTTGCAGTTTTTCTGCCATAATCCGAAAAACTCAGGGTATGCCTAAAGAGCGGATGTAGGCAGGGAAGGGGAGGGCAGCCTGTGCAGTGCTGCCCGCGTCCCCTCCAGGTCTCACCACGGCATGTGGCAGTTGCAGTGCCAGGGTGTCCTGGCCCTCACTTGGCCCTTTCCTGACATCTGCCCCCTTCCCGTGAGCCCAAGATGGGAGTCAGAAACTGCTGCTCCCATTCTTTGGGTATTCATCCGTGCAAGGAGAGCAGAGTGACTCAGAAAAGGCACAACGGCATGTAGAAGTGGAATGAGGCAATAGTTTTGCTTTCCTGGTCTTGTCCAGCAGCAGCTGTCTGGCTGTCTTTCCAGGCCTGCAGGGACACTCAGTAGCTCTGCTCCACCTTCCAGGCTGCTCGGCCAGACCTCTGAATTGCAACCGCAGGGAATGCAGGGAATGCAAATTCCCATCGGTAAAACAGATGCTCATGGAAGACACAGAGCAGCGCAAGTGCCCTAAAATCCAGAGGCGAACATTTGTATTTAAGAGTTTTTCACACACAGAGGAGGCCCCTCTTGCAGGGCTGAGATCCACACAGTTGATGAAGCCAGCATGGCAGAAGGTAGGAAATTCCCTTTCATACCGCATGAAACAAAGCTCAGGAAGCAAGGCTAAAATCAGTATTTCCCACGCAAATGAGCAGCCCCCAAGACAAGTAAGAATTGCTAACCAGGAGGAACATGGCCCAGCTTGAGCACTTACATAGATGTGACCCTGTTGGTAGCGCTGGTGCAAGTTAAGCAGGATGGCAGCCTCATGGAGATCTCCCAGCATGGACATGTCTTCCTCCCCATCGATGCTGCTCTGGTGCATTGGCAGCACCTTTTCTCTGGAGAGGGAAGCCTTGGGGTACTGGAATACCTGCAGGAATAAGGACAAACAAAAGCATGGCAACTGGGTATGCAATCAGACCTCTGCTAGAAATAGCCCCCTCTGCACAGCTTTATTCTTCAGTGCTGAGAAGGGAAATTAAAAAGGCACAAATCCGCTACCTTGTTTAACAATTGTTCCTCCATCCTGTTCAAGCTTCTTGGACAGATCCCACAGAAGAGACCTTCTTTCATGGCTATCGAGCCATACTCTCACCTTTAATAGAGCCTGCTTAGTACAGCATTACTTGATTTTTACTCCCCTTAGCTGGAGCAAGGCAGCACATGCAAGTACACCCTCTGATGCAGACACCACACACTACTCGCATGCTGGTGGCAGCGGCTGCGCCCTCAGGCTCTCCACCCGAGAAGCCAGAGAGCGCCTGGGAAGTGTCCCAGGAAGAGGCTGTCACGCTAAGGGCAAAGGAAAGCAAAGCAGATGAAAAGCCAAACAAAGCTGTGACATCCTGTGTGCACGCAGGCTCATACACATGGGAGACGGCTCTCCAAGGCTCTGTGCAGTGACAGCTATTAACTTCTCTGTCACTGCCCTGGGAAGTACCATCTCCTGTCTCTACACAGCTGCTGTCTTAACTCAATTGCCACAACTTTTCTCCTGTTAGAGCTTCCCCCTCTTTAACAACCTACTGTTCAGCTATCGGGTCAGCCTCTTCACTCCCTGTTGCAGAGCGGAAATTTTGTTACTGCTTCCCTCCATCCCAGCCCTCCTTTCCTCCTCCTTAAACACGAGGCTGGCATTTCACACACTATTTCAGTTGCTTCCCACTCTTGGATTCAGCCATGTGCCATCTCCCACCCATCATTCCAGGCTGAGCTAAATGGCAAAACCCAAGAGAAACAGATGGGACACTTCATCTAGGCAGCCAGGAGAAACAAGCAGGCCTGCGCTAACCTTTCCAAGGAAACTTGGGCTTTTCTTTCCCTTCTGGGGCTCTGGCCCTCATCCCATCCCTGTCTATCTACTGTGCAGTTCCACTTTAGACGGAGGCAGATGCATCATTACCTAATCCCCATCTCTCCTCGTGTCAGCCATCCTCACCAAAGAAACCGACTGATCCCACAGAGAGTGAGATGAGGGTCTACAGGGCTCACCTCACTTGGGTTTCTCCTGTCTGTCCCTTGGGCTGCTGTGAGGGCTAGAGAAAGGCCAGCAATGCAGCTGCAGGCTGAAGGCAGACCCAGGTCTCCCTCAGTGGAGCAGGGTTCCCAGGCTCTGCTCCTGCACACACGGAATGCTGTGATCCCAGGACCAGTGCTCAACTCCAAGGCTTCATCCATATCAGAAACAAATAACCCAGGACAGGATCTCTTTGCAAGACCCTCATAACGTGGGTGGAAGCCTGCATGGTCAGAGCAGCAATGCTGTGTGCTCCAATCCTGGGAGAGGTGGCAAGGAGAAGACGGCTCCTTTCTGCAGACCTGACTGCCGGGCACCTTCTAAGCGGCAAAGCACTTGGCTTCCCCTCCTGGAGACTGCCCCACAGGCAGACCTCAATAGACAGGGGGCTTCCAAAAACACACAGTCACTACTCATTTTTTTCCTACTTCCACATGGACATTTTGCCCTCCGCATCCACTTACACCCCTGACTAGCCGTGGCAGACACACTGCTTTCATCTCAAGTAGTTATAGTTAAATGAACAGGGTCAAATGAAGCCAACTCCAATATTCAGGGTCTCTCCAGTCTTCTCCAGCTGCCTGGCATTCTCTGCACCACTTCTGCTCTTGGGTGCCACAGAGGTACCTCTGCCAGCAGGAAGCATCTGCCCTCTGCAAGTGTGGTCCAAAACCCACATCTCTCCACACTCTCCTTTTCTTGGAGCAGGTGCCCCAGGTGCTCCCACAGGAGAACTGGGCAAGCAGGGAAGGAGAAGGGGAGCTAAACTCATAACAGAGATCAAGCTGCAAATACACGCCATAGATGGGACTCTGTCAGCAGCAAAACCATTAGAGCATCTTCAAACCATGAGGCAGCAAACCTCCCTGCGGCTCTTCTCTGCTGACCTGGACAAATTTTGGAAAAGGACAAGTCCATAATGGTATGATATGATCTTTCCTTATATCTTCCTTGCAATTACTCATTTACCACTGCACTGTCAGCACTTGTGGCCATTTGGGCCAGAAGAGAAACATTAAGAAAATGTCTAGGGAAAAAAAAAAGAGCTGAGTGGACAAAGGATGGGAGAGACACTGGGTGGTTAGCAGCACCTGTGCCAAGAGTTCACTACATACAAAAAAAAACCTGTGTGACAGTCCAAGCTTGTGCATTCGCTCTTGCAGACAGCACAGGAGAATGTGGGACCCTCAGAAAGCGCAAAATGATCTTAAATAAGAGAATATGTGATGGGTGGAGACTAGACCAGCATCTGTCTTGAGCCTCCTAATTCGAGTTACTCAGCCACTCTCCTACCTGAAAAAGTATCTAGTCCTTATCTGGAGAATTAAATGTTGCTCTGGCAGGACTGCAGCAAAGGTGGGTAAAAAGGTGTGACTGGCATCCTCCACCCAGGAGCACTGCACATGGAACATATTCTTGAAGAGAAGTGAACTGGATGCCAAACGGACACCCTGGCCTAGACCTGGGATTTGCTTATCTGGGCAGTTCGCCCACTGCCCTTGCCCATCTCCCCCCACCAGCAGCTCAGCCTTCCTCAGGTGGAGGCTGCAGCCTCCAGCCCCGTTAGGATTTGGGCAGGAACCACACATGACACATGGGAGATATTTCAGGACTTCCATGACACTGGGAAAGGGTTGACTTTTGACCTGTCCTCCAAGACAGGGACAGGTTTCCTCTCTCCATATCACAAACAGGTTGCAGGAAGCATCAGGGGTTTGGAGACAGATACGTGAAATGTTTTTAGTTTAGTTTAGTAGTTTAGTATTTCTTCTTCTAATCGGATGCAGTTCTACTCATCTTTTCATTAAAAGGGGTTTTGAGGAGCATGGAGCTTTTGGAGATACCAGCATGACCAGGCACAGCAATCCCTCCACCCTTCGGGCAGGATAGTTCAGAGGAGCATCACCCCACCCGCTGCCCAGGTAAGGTGAGACAGCCTGGCCTCAGTAGCTAGCCAACTAACCTGGCCCATCTTGGCTGAAGCAAGCGAGAGCACACAGGTGAACTGGTCCCTCAGCAAGACCTCGAAAATGCCCCTTTTCCCCACCAACAGCTGATATTTAGGCAGAAAGACAGGCATCAATAAGCAATCTTTATTGATTTGGGAAAAAAAAAGCAACAAGAATTTGCAATCTTCAAACTACAGACAAGCTATCAGAGACCTCAGGGATACCTCACAATATGCCCAAAGATTTCTTGTTTCTCCTTCTTAATGAATTGATTTTAATCTCAGATGTAGCTCACTGAGAGCAAAAATGACCAAGATTTCCTCCAAACACCTCCACTGGCCAGGATTTAAATGAAGCACGATGAGCAGACAAGCCACAGACTGTATCAAAATGGGACTTGCCAATCAGACAAAGCAGGAGGAAAAATATTTCTTCTGATCTCCAAATCCTCCACTAGTGTAACCTCGAGCACATGAGCAAAGGTCCCATCCAGTATCTGAGCTCTGTTCATGCCTAGAGCATCTGTATAGAAGGCAGCTTCCAATCTCTTGTGTTTCATAAAAGTCAGTTCTTACTTTGCTCCCAGGAAATCAAATTTCTGAAAGATTTGTGGCTCAAGGTGTTTCTAGGGAAGCAAAAACCTACTACTGATCTTTTTCATACAGTTGCAGCCTTTAAGGTCTCTCTGATGGTTCTACAATGTTAAAAAAAAAAGTTTATGTTACAGCTGAGAGGAAGAACTTGGGGATTTTTTTTTTTTTTTTTTTGAAAACACATTGGAAGACAGCAGAAAAAAATTATAAGAATTTAGTACTTGTGAGTCTTCTAGTCCCTCTTGCATTTGACTGGAACTGCCCGGGCAGCTTAAAAGCGAAGGGAAGAAAATGAACGACCCAAAGAGACAATGCATTTTTTAAAGAAAACTATGCAAAGAACTGAACATACCTACTCATTTGTGCACCAAAAAGAAAATGATTCCTACAGAAGATAAATGGCAAAATCCCTCAAGCATAAGACTGGGCATCTTGCCCCAGCACTGGGCCAGAATGAACACGGGGACTCCAGATTTAGGGAGGCTAAGAAGAAGAACCAACTACCCAAGCTAAACAAAATGCAGATGTTTTCATCTCTTTTTTCATCTGAGATAAGAAAGTCAAACCCTCTTACCATCATCAAGCAGTGGAGAAGGAAAATGAGAAGGACACAGAAGAACTGCTATAGATGGCACTGAGCAAAGCCCTTCAGTGATCATCATGTGCTTTTCCTGCACAAACCATAAAGCACATGCTCCTTTAGCCCAGTGATTCCTTCTGACCTTAAGATTTAATAGAGGAAACACCCAAAACTCAACTCCTGGTTAGACTCGTGCCTCCACCCAGTCCTAATTCCCCTTCCCCTGTCACCAGGTAAGAGGTTGAAAAAATATCATTTGAATTTCTGTAATACAGATGAAGAAATAACACCTTTCCCTTGTCACCTGTGTTAGACTTTTGGCACAGTCTGTGACACAGCCAGATCACCTTTCAGGCAGAAAGAGCAGAGTTTCAATTAATAAATCTCCTTTCAACACGAAACTCATGCAAGACCAAGGCAGTCACCTTGGACCTTTTTGTTTGAGGTTGCAGCCCGTGTCCAGAATTTCACTTACCTTGCCATAGTCTGAGGTGAGGAGCACGTTTCCATCGGCACACGAGGCAACGGTGCATGGCTGCAGCTGGTCCTGCTCCCGCAGCCATACCCTGGCACCCTGCAAATAACAGAACATCAGGAGAGGAACTAGAGCCCATGAGAGCTGCAGCACGCTGGATGAAAACACCTGAGGACAGGTGGAGGAAGCTGCCATCTTCAGAGGCTACTTCCAACCTACAGCTGCTTAAAGGTTTGAGGAAATCACATCTATGTTTTCCAGAAAAACAGTTTCAACATTCTTCTTTTTAAACATAACATGAGAGAGAGAGAAAAGCATTTTTTAATTAACTTTAACCAGAGAACGAGCTAAGGAAACAACGTTTTTTGTTGACAGAGTCATGGAAAGATACAAATGCTCAGAGCAGTGGGTTAGATTGTCCAAATATTTTCAAATTTAGAATAGCCAGTCATCACAAGTCATGCAATAACCAAAAAAAAACATTAAAAAAGGCATGTTTATGGTTTCATACACCCACGCATCACTGTAGGTCAAAACGTTTCCACACATAACCAGCAAAAGTGAAGTGGACCTCACAGAGCTTTGTGTGCCTGCCTCCCTTGCAAGGGTCTCCTTGGGTAAATGCCATGGCTTGAGTGCTTTCTCGTATCAGAAGCTGGTGTATGAACATTGTCTGACACACTGCAAGAGCCTAAATTGCTCAATACCTTCCAGGACAACCCCGAGCACGGGGCCAATTTCTGGTAATATATGTATTTGCATTGAACCGAGGATGATCCTCATCCTTGTGTTTCAAGACCTTGACACGCAAGCACAGGCTGTGTCAAACGGAAAAGGATGAGTGCACTTTGCTGAAAAAATTTGTGCCGGGGGGAAGATTCAGAGCAAAAGAGAAAGACGTGAACAGAAATCAAAGTTTGGCATTTCACCATATCAAACAAATCCCAGCTGCAAAGCGTATTGCAGAGGTCAGGTTCTACGCATTACATGAATCTGCAATCAAGAAACAGATTTAAGAGTTACCATTAACTTAGCATTTGAAATAGCTTGCGGATAAGAACCCTGGGACAAAGCAACAGAGGCTCAAAACACAGTTTTAACGGATGGCAACTGGGCATGAGAGATAGGGGAAAAAAAATGTGTGAATTCATTCAAGAACTTTCTAGTCATTTCAAAACATGGCGAGGTCAGCAGATGGATGTAGTCATGCTACTCAGCTATGTGCTGCTGCACCAGGACACCTCTATCACCATGTATGTATTCTTAAATTTTACCTGGCTATTTGGAAAAATTAATTAAAGAGGTCACACAGACCAAAGTGATTTTAGCACATTCCTACACTCAGCCAATCTGCATCCTCCAGTGGGAGCAAAGGCTAATGGAGTTTGGTCCTTCCACCAATGACCATGGGGAAGCTCTGGGCCAGGCTGCATAGGTCAGACCTCCCCAGCACCACAACTGCAGGACAAATAGGACAGCAGGCAGCACATTCCCAGCTGAGAACCACCATTCACCTCTGCTTAAACTCTACCAAGCCAGAAAGGAAGAAGAAATTGAAGAAAAACACAAGCTGGAGGTCAGAAGCATGTCTCAGACACTTGCCAGGTGACCACAGACCCTCCTCCTGGTGCACTGTGGTCTCAAGCTGCAGCAGTTCACTCATGCACAGATAGTGTCTTCTTAAACATACGGACGGGAGCTGCAGATCCTCAAGCGCTAACACGGGATGGGCTGGGGAGGAAGCCTGGCTCACAAGACGAGTCCTGCCTCCTCCTCAGCCCAGTGCTGCACGAGAGCCACCCTCCATGGGCCGGCAGCCCCTCTGGCACCAAACAGCAGCCCTGTGGGACCGACGGGCCAAGCGGCCCCGCTGTGATCCCGCGCTGCTGTCACCTGCCACGGGAAGGGGCGAGTTACGTGGAACTACGGGCAACGCAAACTGCACTTAGAGCACTGCAAGCCAACCTGCCCCGCATCCCCCCGTAGAAGTCATACCAACTCTGCTTACAGAGGGAGTCAAAAAGGCTAAAGTGCTGAACCACCGAACAACATGAAAGCCATCCTATTTTTCATTGATTCCCGAGCCTACTTTCTTCCTATGTTGTTTCCTATCCCTAAGATATGGATTATAAAGCCCCTTCCCACCCTCTTAATCCCTTCAGCACCATTAGCTTAGTGTTTACAGGGCTCACCATGTTTGAGGAAATGCAGTATCGTTCCCATATTATATCACATAATGTGGCACACCAATTCTATTTTTAATGTTTTAACTACTTCTTGCTACTTTAATACCCAAGATTACCCTTAGAAACAGAAAATATATCTCTTTGCCAAACTTCAGTCCTCTCAGGAAAGGAATTGATTTTCATGACATTTATTAAAAATAAAGGAAAAAAAAAAAAGAAAAAAGAAGCCTACATCAATCCTGCTGTGCTGCATAGCTCTCCTCTAGTTTTCAGTCAAATTAATTTCTCTTCACCAAGCGAATGAATAGCACGAGCGCACACAGCCACCACCCACATGCAAAGAGGATGCACGCGGCTCAGCCCTCACGGACAGTGAGTGATTGCAGTAGAAAGAAACATTTGGTTAAGGACACAGATTCAAGCTCCCAGGCTGCCACTAAGCAGTGAGCTGAATACCTAATTTGAGGAAGCACACTAGAGGTCTTCCCGACATTCACGGGCATTTTTTTTTTTTTGAAACTCTTGATGCTTGAATAAAAGCATCTCAACTCACCTGGGTAAGACCTTGCTGCTTAGAAATCATCCATTTTCCAAATCACACTCTGACAACTCTGCACAAATATGTGAAGAGCAACATGTGTTAGCAGAGCTTTATGCCGTTCTCACTGACACGTTGCAGGCATCTTCCAGCACAGGATCGGGGGAGAAGAGCCAGCATCAGAAACTTAAGTCTTTCCTGGAGTTCCCAACAGACAGGAGAACGAAAGGAAACCTTTTCTAATGTTCTTACTATAACACTAACCCCCAAGAGTGCTTTTCAGTGCTTTCAAACAGCAATAACCCACAAGGAGATGGAGGGGAGACTGCAGGAAAGTGTGGTTTGATGGGGAGCTGAGCTCCCCATGCTCTCCTCGTGCTGGAGGCCAGGACATGCACATGGGCACACGGGCATGTCAGCAAGGACAGCATGGGCTGCTCAGAGGAGTGAGGGCAGGGGGTCCCTGTCACACACCCCTTCCCCTCCTGGGGCCAGAAGCGAGCCTGGAGGGAAGGAGAGCTGATGGCACAAGATCCCTTTGGTATTTCAGATAAATATTGCACATAGAAATAATCAGGAAGTCCAGACTGACCGAGTCTCCTTTCCCAGCAGGAGTCCACGTGCAAGAGTACTCTCAAAAGCAGAAGGAGCCCCAGCTCTTTCACACAGTATTGCACCATACCCCACACGCTTAAGGCAGATGCTCCTATGTTCCGCCAAAGAGCACAAGGCAACAGGGCAGAAATCCCAGGCTCAGCTGCACAAACTCCTCTTCAGTTTACTTCAATGCAATATGTTTTTACAACAACAACTGCCTCTGCACAGTCCAAAATCTGCATGCATCCACACTATTCCAAAAGGAACATTGTGCTGAGATAGTCAGAATAGGAACCACAGAGCACATCATTATTTTAACTTCTGCCCAACATAGACCCCATTTCCTGAAAGACAGAGTTTGCTTTAGGGCCTCTCCTTTCATCAGCTCTTTCTTCTAAACCTGAAATTCCCCAAGGAGTCTTGACTGAACACAGGAACAGATGGCAACACCAAAGAGACAGCCCTCACATCACTGCCCTCTCCCCCAGCACCATACATTTCATTGATCTGTTGAAAGGATTAAATTGAGCAGAAAACTTCCAGGAACTGCCAGGCAGCAAGTCTGAACTTCCTGGGGACAAACCAGGGCAGGGAAACTGGACAGCAACCCGCCTCTTTCCTAGGTCCGGGCTCCTGCAGGCAGCACAGATGACTGGAAAGCCTGGCTTTCCTCCCACAAGGAGAAAGGACCTCCAGGATACAGAAATTCTCACCTGCATCCAGAGACAAAACAATTTGGCAAGGTGAAGCAACAAGCACTCCTTGATTTGCCACCTTAGAAAACAGCTAAGAACAGCAGAGTAAGAGTTTTGCGTAATTGCTTTCAATTGAATAAATCCAGTTAAAAACAGATGGTATAATTAATTTGAGCTCCTTATATAAGGGGAATAGATTTTTCCCAACCACTTCCTTCTTTAAGCAAGAGCATTTTTTTTTAATGGAGTAGCAGCAGTTACTGAAAAAAAAAAAATGTAGTAATGTACCCAAGTTCCCGTCCATACAGTAGGTCACTTGGATGTCAAGTCAGCGCTCAGAGACCAGAATCATAATTCCCATGGCCTCAATGACAATCTGCCCATGAACTGGTCTTACCACAAAACACACAGCAAAGCACAATCCTGAAAACTGATCCCGGAACGGGGAGTTATAATTTAGAAAATAAAGTTGCTGGCATACCAAGAACAGCATTTCATATGTTCTGCCTCACCCTCACTCTCTCTTGTCTTACCATCTTGGACAAGAAATGCTAGAATGTCATTTTTCTCTGTCTGCATAACACCTGCCACTTTGGGGTCCTATACATGGAAAAAATAAAATTTCCTGACAACCATAATATCAGGAAATCAAATGAAGCTGCAGTTCTCTTTTGCTTTCTGTGTCTTTTGCAGAGTGATTGATGGCAGGAGGTCTCTTGCATCCACATGCTTGCATCTGCCCCGCAGCAGACTGTTAGCACGGAAAGGCAAAGGCAGATCTCACATGCTGCACGACTAGGAAAGGGCTCGAACGTGAACAAACAGTGCACAACATTGTCTGCAGCAGCACAACATCCAGGCACTAACACAGAGCCCGTAGCCACTAACAAGTGGACCTTCCTCATCTGCTGTCCTGCTGCTAAAGGCAGGCTAAGTGTCAGAGGACAAAACCCATGGCTCGGTCCCTGATGGTGCCTTCACCGGTCCATGTGGCCCTGCATGGAAATACTCTCCCCTTCCCCAACCACTTCAGGCCAGCAACTCTCATGGGCTTGGAAAGCACTGTGAGGGGCAGGAAACACATTCAGAGAATGACCATCAGCAAGCCACCGCTCTGCAACGATACTGGACCTAAGAAACAAGTTCAACAAGTCCTACCCTGCTCTCCTGAGACTGGTGTAGCCTGGGCTGTCCTCCAACCTTAACTTCCATCACCTGGGAGCTCTTCTCTTCTGGAAACCCACTTCTCAGGTGTGAGAACAAGCTGTCCCTGCTGTGCAGGCTCTGGGCAGACAGACAGCAGTGCCGCCTCTCTACCTTGCCCCATCCCTCCTCATGCACAAACCTGCACAAGTCCCAGCAGCAACACATCCGGCAGGGGCTACAGCTGGGATGGAAGCATCACTTTTCCAGGAGTTATTCCGAGGGGAAAAGGGCTCTTGGTTGAAAGACAGTCATCAGGTATGAAATACACATGTAACTGGCCATTTTTCCCCTCTTGTTATTTCTGACTAGGCTTGTCTCTCTTGGCCTTCAGAGCTACTTGCAGTAAAATATGGTGGGAGGCCCTTGCGGTGCCTGGGTTTGGGTAACACTCCCAGCCCTCTGCTACGGCCTTTCTGCAAGAGGCAGGGAAGTTTCAGCAACAGAGCCCTTGCATTGTGGGGCTGGATCAAAATCACTTCTTTGTGCCTCAGAAGCAGGACTTCTCAGCTGTATATACTGCTTAGATACACACCACCGTCCCCTTGCCACGCTGGGGCTGTTCAGGGCACCCGAGTTAAGAATCCAAACCTCGTATTTCTCCTCCTCATACATCCATATGCTCCTAGGCTCAGCAGCAGCACTGCACTAAGCCAGCTTTCTTCATGGCCTCAATGGGCTTTGTGGTTGCAGGCCACGCAGAAGAGGTTGGGCTAGAAAGGCCCTCGCAATCCCAACAAAGCCTGGGTCAGGTTTCAATAAATGCACTTTTCAACAGATTGATCTAGATGATCATGAATAAGTGATAGGGCAGATATAGAGAGACTCAGCTAATGGATGCAAAATTGTTGGGGAGGGGGGCCTATGACACCCAAGATCCATAGGGAAAGGATGCAACCTTGCTGTTTTTCCGAGGTTGGGCTGAAATGAAGTCACACAGCCAGTCCCTAGGTCATCTCTGATCAGCAGGAGCCACCTGAGCCGCTGCTGGAAGGGCAGAGGGACTCCAGGGGCCACAGGTGGAGACAGGACGGAAAGAATAACAGCTGAGCTGTCAGCAACCAACACAGAGCAGCCAGGAAAATTGCAGAGACCTGCAACAGGAACAGCACAAACAAGGCAACAAAACCCAACCTTCTCCTCCCCAGCTACTTCTCCTAAAGTAGAAGGGTGACACACTACAGACCTAGAAGGGGTGGCTTCACCTGTGGAGGATGAGCAGACCCCTAACACAGCAGCCCCTGCCCGCGGGCAGACCCCTTGAGCCTGCACGGCAGGCAGAGCTGAGCACCAGCAAAGCAGCCCAGCTGAGTCCCTGACTCAGATGAGTTCTGCCAATTAGCAGTCCCGTTCCTTACTAATTAAGGAGCAAAACCCACAGCACACCAGCAGCAGGGAGAGGAGCTAAACCAAGAGCAGCGTGTCACTTCTGGTCACTGATGTACATGCACCAATTCCCATCCCTCCTTCACCTCCTCCTCCCATCTGTTCTGCACCTCTCCTCCCACAGCCTGGCTGTGCAAGAGCCTCTTCTCCTTCATTCCCCTGCACATCTCCCTGCCTCACATATCCCACAGGAACAGCCTCATCCTCAAAGGCAGCGCTTCCTCCACTCAGAGGAGCATCTACCCCTACAGCAGCCACAGCAGCTCCTTGCCATGACAGCAGAGGGAATGGATTCCAGCCATTTCCACATGCCTCAAGGCTCCCCTTGACCATCAGAGCAACACAGGAACGGCGACAGAGCAGAGGAAGCAGCAGACATGCCTCTTTCCAAGGTTCACAGCAAGTGCTCTCCAGGCTTCACTCTGAGATACTCTGCTATCCCCCTGAGCAGGGCTAGGGCCTAGAGATGGGGAGGGCCCCCCATCTAAGACTTCAATTAAAACAAGTCATTCCATAGGTCACAGAACCCAAGGCCTGCATTCCTACAGATCCTAGACACACTCAGCACCTCACAGCAATTTCATTTTTTTCCCCCGTATCTTCTTTGTAGAAGACTGGACAGAAAGGAAACAACGTGACACAACCAAAATTCCTGCCTAACCACAGCAAAGCTTTCATTGACCAGCTAACTGCTGAAAACACAAGTGAAAAGACATCCCCTCAAGCAGCTTAGACCTTACCTTGAGTCTCCTCACCCACCATAAGGTGATTTCCTTACAGGTCCCTCCCCCTCTCAAATTTGGCCAAGGCTTCACAGCTGAAGCAGGGCTGATGGACAGCTGAGTTACAGGCTCCTGGAGGGATTGCTGGTCTCTAGTTTAGGGAACACATGCTCTCCTCCAAAAGAGAGCTGAAGGCCTTGGAAAACCACGAGGACGCAGAAGCCAACCAAAGAGCAGCCAGCACCCTGCCTCCAAGCAGCCGCTATGCTGCTGCGTTTGGTAAAAAATTCAGAGGAGAGCCTTGAATCAGTTCTTTTCCTTCAATATTTGTAGTAAGTATTAATTGGGATGTCACACTACCTTTTTGCATCTTGCCACATCCTTGACTACAGCAATTCCCTGCCATGTGGCATTCTACCATCAAAGCCCACGTTATATGGAAA